ATAACTTTCATTTTGGAATTGCTGCCCCTCCTGCCAAGACCCATGTTCATGCATATTCACTGAGATATCAAAAATCGCTCCCAAACAAAATGCAATATTGGATTTCTAGATGATTTTGTATAACATAACTTCAGAGACAACTTACTCAGGTATTGTCCAAATCAAAGCAGTCATATTGGATATAGATTTATCTATATCATGCCAACTGTACACCTGAAAAGAGAGTGGACTACCTTAGTGATGGAATGAATTAAAATTAAGTAAAGATAAATAAATTGACTGACTGAGATTGGTGTCTAAAGGCACATCAGACATAATGTATGCATGCATGTAGGTAATGTAGGTAGGTAAGAATGAAGGTAAGTATGTATGCATGTATTAATGCAATCCTAGCTATAAAATGTCAATTAAAGGTAAAGATTTAACTGTGGATAACTTTAAGAAGGTAAATTGTTTTAAATAAAACTAAATATGTAGCCTAGCAAGGTGAATGGCAAAGAAAACAAAAGTTGAAAATTGCCAGAATCTGCAAGAAGGAGTTAAGACAATGGAAAAAAAGAGCTCTGCAAAGAGAGATACTATTGCAGTCAACCCAGGCAGAATTAAAAACATTAAAAACTCCAACCCACCATATGAGTTGGCACATTTATGGCACATGATGTCATATACCAAAATGGAGGAACCTATAGAGATATCAGTATTTGTGAAAGCCAACTGTCATGAAACCTGGAACAAAAAAATGTATCCTCAGATAAGATCTGAAAATCTGTTTTGAAGAATAAGATTGGGAAAAGCAATGAATCCTGGAAGCAATATTTTATGGAGCATGAGAATGACCATGCTCTTCAAAACATGTTCTGGCAAATGTTTTCAATTTTTAGTGATAGCAGCCATATCCAATGGTATAACAGCAGCTTTTGTAAATGTCTGAAATGCACTAAAGCCAGGATGGCTTCTGAAAATATCTGACAATTTCTGTTAAGCAGTTATTTGCAAGCAGTTAGTGAAGGTTTTACTTTTTTCAGCACCAGCTGTCATACTTTATGGTAGCTTGTTATCATTTGTGAAAACTAGAATGGTCTACATGCCGAAATGTTTTCTGTCAAATATGGCCAATTCTATTCTCTGGTTTTGGAGTTTACAGTAGTTTTCTATTTTTAGTAACAGTGGCCATATCAAATTGTGGATTGGAATCATTTCTACAACTTTAAAGGTATTCATGCCTGGATGCTTTCTGTCAAGTTTAGTCAAATTCTATTCAGCGGATTTGGTGAAGCCTTTGTTAAAAGCATTTCTATTCCTAGAATGGTCTTAATTTAGAAGGTTTTAAGAAGCAATTCAGTTTTGCTATATTTTTTGAAACTGTATTCACATGTGATAGCAGATTTATTATAAATGTGATATGTTTTTATGCCATGATGATTACTGTCAAATCAGTTTCACATGCTGAGACACTCCAAGTTTGGTTGAAATTGGTCAAGTGGTTTTTGATTGATGGACAATCGACTGATTGTTCTATTTTTGGGAACTGTGGCCATATTTGATGATGCACTTTCTATAAATCTAAAAGGTCTTTAAAACATTTCCCTAATAGAATGTATGGCTTTTTCACCCTTCGATATGCATGTAGCAAAGTTACGCTGTGTATAGTCCGCAATGCATAGGCCTGTTAAGCAGTGAAGTATATGTTACATTTAATAGCAATTTTAACCATTATACATTTTTGGTACACATATATTATGTATGGAAAGATTTAAGAGTAAAATAAATTCTGACTTCTAATAACTGTTCCAATCGGAATGTTATATTTAGGGAAATTACAATAACAAGACTAGGCCACATTAAACACTAATTATATTTTGTATCACATTCCTGTGGTCATGAGACAGCAAATGCCTATCGGCTGCCATCTTTGAACAAAGTACAAAATTGTGAACATTTTTACCTATCATGTATTGTGCCACGGTGAAGCTACCATGCCTTTAAGTAAAAACATGGGTCTTGAATAATTGTATGCCAAGGAAAAGCTACCAAGTCTCCAAATAAAAATACAGGCCTTGAATAACTGTATGCCAAGGAGAAGCTACCAAGTCTCCAAATAAAAACACAGGCCTTGAGTAATTGTATGCCAAGAAGCTACCATGGCTCCAAATAAAAACACAGGCCTTGAGTAATTGTATGCCAAGAAGCTACCATGCCTCCAAATAAAAACACGGGCCTTGAGTAATTGTATGCCAAAAAGCTACCAAGCCTCCAAATAAAAACAGGTCTTTAGTAATTGTATGCCAAAGAGAAGCTTCCAAATAAAAACATGGACCTAGAGTATTTGTCTATGAAAAATTATCTTTTTATTTCTTCTTTTTTATAAAGACATAATATTCTTTCAAAAATGTAATTGCAAGAAATAAATCTGCTCTAAAACCTAACAGAAACATGAAGAGTGGTTAAAACATGAAGATGAAGAGTGCTTAAAACATGAAGAATGGTTAAAATAGAGTGGTTAAAACATGATGAGTGATTAGAACATGAAGAGTGGTTAAAACAAAGAGTGATTAAAACATGAAGAGTGATTAGAATATGAAGAGTGGTTAAAACAGAGTAGCTAAAATGAGTGATTAGAACATGAATAGTGGTGGAAACATGAAGATGAAAAGTAATTAAAACATGAGTAGTTAAAACATGAAGAGTGATTAAAACATGAGTGATTTGAACACGAGTGATTAAAACAAGAAGATTAGATAAAACATGAAGAGTGATTAAAATATGAAGAGTGATTAAAATATGAAGTGTTTAAAAAACATTAAGTGTTTAAAACATGAATAGTAGTTAAAACATGAAGAGTGGTTAAAACATGAAGAGTGATTAGAACATGAAGAGTGATTAAAATATGAAGAGTGATTAAAATATGAAGTGTTTAAAAACCATTAACTGTTTAAAACAAAGAGTGATTAGAACATGAAGAGTGATTAAAACATGAATAGTTGTTAAAACATGAAGAGTGATTAAAACATGAAGAGTGATTAGAACATGAAGAGTGATTAAAATATGAATAGTTGTTAAAACATGAAGAGTGATTAAAACATGAATAGTTGTTAAAACATGAAGAGTGATTAGAACATGAAGAGTGATTAAAACATGAATAGTTGTTAAAACATGAAGAGTGATTAAAACATGAATAGTTGTTAAAACATGAAGAGTGATTAAAACATGAAGAGTAGTTAAAACATGAAGAGTGATTAGAACATGAAGAGTGATTAAAATATGAAGAGTGATTAAAATATGAAGTGTTTAAAAAACATGAAGTGTTTAAAACATAAAGAGTGATTAAAACATGAAGAATGGTTAAAACATGAAGATTAAGAGTGGTTAAAACATGAATATGAAAAGTGATTAAAACATGAAGATTGATTAAATTTTTTAGTTTTATTTCTACTTTTTGATGGAGGCACCATTTAGACGGACATTTTTCATGCTTTAAAACATAGATATGGAGCATACTAATTTCATCTCAGCTGATGTATGCTAGAAACAGAAGCTGAACTAGGGGCTTTTAATGGTCCAAGGGGCCAATAATGGGTCTGTGCCCCGCCCAATGTTTTATGATCATGTACAGTTTCCAATTTTAGCAATTTATTTCGGGACCCAAACATTCTGCCCCCAATTTGTCATTTCCCCAAAATGATGACTGTATGCCTCATTTCTGTTATTCCTAAACAAAATTCCAGCACATGAGGTAAAAAGCATACTATATACACTCACTTATAAGCCAGGTCAAACTGCAGACATAGAACCTGATCTGCCATAATGTACTTGCAGATCAGGGTCTTTGTTGATCAATCATCTAATTAATCCTAATAAACTTCCAGTGCATTATGAGAAGGCAGATCTGGGTCTTTGTAGTTTGCAGCAAGTTTACATATGCATTACCTGGGAGCAGGTCTATGTCTTTGCAATTGATCCAATTTACATGCAAGTATATACAGTATTTCTTATATATGTATGGCAGACTGGGATTTGAATTAGTTCTGTTTGATTAATCAAATTTCATGAATGTTTCTGAGTTCAAAATTTTTTTTAAAACTATTTATTCATACCATGACAGATGTTCCACAACACACCACCAGTTTACTGCCATCTGACAACCAATCTCCACAGGTAATTCTTCCTCTAAAATACAAAATTAAAACACATGAAAAAAGTGAGAATATTCAGTAACACAATATAAAGAAATGGAGTTTTTAAAACACATGACAAAGGTGATAAAAAATTTAGTAACACAATACAAAGTATAGGAATTGCATCTAATGCTTACAACTCTGCTTTTGACCACAAAAAAAATCCAGTCTAAAATTTCATCAAATGTGAGAATCAACTAAAAAAACATTATGTTTTGAAACCTTATGTGAAAAATACAACGCAAAAACAAAATGAGTGAAATATTAAAGACAAGCCAGTAAAACTTGAAAAAATTGAAAATTAATAGTTTTCATGACAAGTTACATTAGTTACTGATTCTGGTTGTGTGCAGACTAATTAAGGTCTGTATAGTTTATCTTGACTTGTTTCTTAAGAGATGTATATATACTAACTAAAAAGTACAGTTTGCTTCAGTGACTGGCTGTTTTACTCATGGTGAAGTCACCTGTACATTTAAGATATTTGCACTACAATTGAAAATAGGAGCAATTGATGCTAAGCTGATGTCCAAAAATGTACATACTGAACATTAATGTATTCATTAGATTAAATATTTGGTGTGTGTGTGAGTTAGATTTTTAACGTAGCTTTAACAATTTTTCAGCCATATCGCTATGATGTCTGCAGTGTGACAGTTTATAGTGATGTCTAGCAGTGGGGCATCATGCCACAGACATGTGGTATGATATCCCACCCAGGCACATTATCCAGTCCTGACACCAGGCCAAACTGTCCTTACACTAACCTATAAATGATGAGCACCAAGTGAGGCAGTTGTTAGCACCAATTTTTAAAGACCGGTATGACTCAGCTGGGGTTTGAACCCACAACCTCCTCCATCCAAGGCAGATGCTCTAACCTTTAGGCCACCGGAGCGGTTTATTAAACATCTAAAAATTCAAGATTTGGTAGATTCCAGAGGATAATGGTTGAACCCCATAAAAATCAGCAACCCTCAAGGAAAGCAGTGTGAACAGAAAGGATGGGACACCTGATATAGAGGGCAGAAAGAACTACAGAAAGGATAAGAAATGCTGGGTGAACTACAGACTAGTGGGCATCCTTCAACAATGACAATGTGAAGCTCCAACAGATACAAAGGAAGTGTTCCTTTTTATAGTGTATGTAAATTTGAACAAAATAACTTGAGAAGCATTTGAAAATTAAAGTTGGAAGGATATTGAGGGTAATTCAGGGAAATAAGAATGAAACTTAAGCCTTCGCTTTGCATTAGAAATGTAATATCATAAACTCTCTTTGGAAATATCTGGTCCTGGAATTTTATTTTCAAACTTGACAAATTGTCTGTCCTAGAATGGGAATAAGAAAAATAGTAAAAAAAATTGATTATAAAAATTGGAAAGAAAAAGTTTAAAAGTTTGAAAATAAAATTACATAAAAAGTATTTTAAAAAGTTGGTATGCTGCACTGAGTTTCAAACTTGCAACCTCTTCTTTGGACACATAGAACAAAAGACAAATGTGGGTGCTTATATAGAAGATTCCTACAGACCAATATGCACTATATATGTTGGTTACTTTGCTCACCTGCCTTCTATGGCTTTCATTACTACACAACGAAAACCCAAACCAGATATATCCTCTTGACAACCAATTCCAGTATAGAAACCCATGAAGATATATCCTCTGGACAACCTATAGTAGTATGGAAACCCAAATTAGATAATCGTCTTGACAAACGATAGTAGTATGGAAACCCATGCAGATATATCATATATCCTCGAGACAACCTATAGTAGTATGGAAACCAAAATCAGATAATCCTCTAGACAACCTATAGTAGTTTAGAAACCCACACAGATATATCCTTTGGACAACCTAATAGTAGCATGGAAACCCAAATCAGATAATCCTCTTGACAACCTATAGTAGTATGGAAACCAAAATCAGATAATCCTCTGGACAACCTATAGTAGTATGGAAACCAAAATGAGAATCTTCTGGACAACCTATAGTAGTATGGAAACCCAAATCAGATAATCCTCTGGAAAACCTATAGTAGTATGGAAACCCATGCAGATAATCCTCTAGACAACCTATTGTAGTATGGAAACCCATGCAGATAATCATCTGGACAACCTATATTAATATGTGACTGGCAGAACAACAGAGATGTCTTCCCATAGAAAATAAGCAACTTGCAACTGCTGGATACACAGTACAGATGCAGGAAGTTTTAGTATAAGATTGCAGGAGTGGTAGAGTTCTCTATATGCATTTGCTTTCCTAGTTTGCTTTTCTTTTCTCTGTCAGGCACAAATAAATACAGACAACACTGACATTAGTTATTAGTATAGTCAATCTATATGAACACAAACCTTTCAAGCCGAGGTAGAACATGGCTGGTTTTCTCTGTCAGGTGCTGATGGTAGAAACTACACTGCTCGGCACTGAGAATACACAGGACATCTCTAGCACCAGGGTTCCATACACACCCTGAAATTGTAAAAAAAACAAAAAAAAAACAGTTCTACACTGACATCTACAGTACTTAACAGTTTTACACTGCTGAGCACTAAGAATACATAAAACATATCTAGTACCATAGTTCCATATACACCCTGAAATTGTAAAAAAAAACAACAAAAAATCTACACTGACATCCACAGTACTCAACAGTCTTACACTGCTGAGCACTATGAATACTGAAAACATCTCTAGTACCATGGTTCATACACACCTTGAAATTGTAAAAAAAATAGTTCCACACTGACACCCATCATGCTCAATGGTGTTATAATGATACTGTGCTCAACAGTTGTACACCAATATCCACTGTGCTCAACAGTTCTATCCTAACACAGTGCTTGCCATTTCTACACTGATACAAACAGTACTCAACAGTTCTACACTGATATCCAGTTCCCAATAAAATCTTCACTTTAAACATATTAACAGTGTGTTACAATATTAGCCAAATTAATCTTTGTTGTTTTGCTAAAACTCTATGCTTGAACAACACAAACATCCATCTGACCTGTCTAGAATGTAAAACAATAATTTGATTTTTTTTTACATAAGGATTTATCTGTTCACATGAATAAAGATAAGCAAAACATGATACAAAAAGTTTAAACAGAACATTATTTCTGCATTGCCAACCCCCTGAGAAATATAAGTATAATTATTGATATTGTCAGTGGCAAAAAAGTGTAATTTGGGTGTAAAAAGTGTATTCTATATATTACATACCCAGAATTACAAAATGTATGAGAAAGAATAATTTCTTTTTACATAACTGGTTTTCTGCTGCTGATCAAATTTCTTGTTAAAAAGGGCAAAAGCCATATGGATCCGAACCAGAATACAAACTCAAAATATACTAAAATATTAATTGTATTCAGCAGTCACTTTCACTAGACCACATGTGTGACTTTTGCTGAATGATCACAATGAGCATAATCATGGTCACAGTACTTTATTACATTACTCTCATATGCTTCTAGAGTTTGTAAAATGGTGTTGATTTGTTTTTTTTCTGATAAAACGTGTTTTAAAGAGAAATCATCTCAAGCATTTTCCATCATATAACATCCACAACACATACTGTAAAGTGTTTTGCTTAATCTCTGGCACCATTTTTTAAAAAAATAGTATAGTATGGTCCACTAAAACTAAATGATCAATATAAAGAATGTATGAGGCAAAATTCATAGTTTAGGCACTATAAATGAGGTTGTCACATGAAAAGCATGGATAATGCAGTCAACTTTTCAAAACTTTGATAATGTTAATTCCTGAAAGATCTGAAACAGAATCAACGGAATACACTCCAAATCAATGAAAATATTAAATGATGTTTTGGATACTTTGTTGGATCTTTTCATTAAAAGAGTAAACAAACATGCTTCTTTAAAAACACACATCTTTGACCACCATATCATATCAGTGCTAAAAAATACCAAAGAATAGAAAGTTTGAAATTCCTGAAATGAGTCCTGAATTTCAGTTGAGATATATTCCAAAAATGAATGATTATAAAGCTACTGGACTTGATATGATTGAACCAAAGTTACTAATGGTAGCTGCATCTGCAATTGTGGAGTATAGCTTTCATTTGCAATGAAAATATTAGGTGTAATACGTTTCTACAGACATGGAAAACTGTCAAAGTAACACCACTTCATAAAGCACAAACAAAACACTATTTAAATAACTACAGACCCATCTCTATCCTTCCTTGTCTTTCCAAATTATAAGAAAGATATAATTCTTTTCTCAACTATTTAAACACTTATATTTTTCATGATAGTCAGTCTGGCTTTTGACAGAATCAGACTTGTGAAACTGCACTTATATCTTTGACTATAAATGGCTGAAAGCATTTTGATAAAGAAGAAATGGTAGGCAACATTATGGTTGTTTTTTTGTAAAGCATTTTGATCTTGTACACCATGAAATTTTTCTTGAAACACTATAAAAATCTACCAATTCAATTAGTCCAAAAAGGATCTTTAAGCTTTCTAATTAAAAAATATTAATTGTAAGAGTCTCACAGCCCTTGGATCACTGTTATTCATTCTATTTATCAATAAATTACCTCTTAAGAGAAGACCTTTAATTACTTCCACTTACTTCTATGCAGATGATACTACAATCTCTGAGATGGGTAAAACCAAAAAAGTACTTGCAAATAACTTACAAGATCCTCGAAACTGATTTTAAGTATATTGCAAGGAAAACAATTGGTCATAAATACAGAAAAACCAAAAGCCCTACTTGTTAGAACAAATATGAGCAAGGCTGGATAGTGACAAACTCCAGGTTCTACTTGAAAATGTGAGCCCTAATGTAACCTCTCAGGATAAAATTCTTAGCATATTTATAGATGACAACCTTACTTGGTCTATTCACATTAAACACATTTCAAAAAAGGCTTTGGCTACTGAGAAAAATCAAAAGATAATTCCTCTCAAAGAACAAAAGCCATTTCTGGACTAGTTTAATGTAATTTGGGGTGATACCTCTAATTCAAACTTAACAACACTTTTATGACTCCAAAAGAGGGCATGTCATTTAATTATAGATCAGTGTATTGACAGTTTCCAATATGCAATGAATAATATAAAGATTTTAAGAATACATGAAAGAAAAGAAAGGCCAAATTGATGGATAAAGTATCTAGAAAAGCCATTTTTTCTATCTAAGCAATATCTTTCACCAAAGAGATGCTGCTGATACCAAAAATTTAAGGTCCATAAGAAGTATAATTTACATTATACCAAAGCCAAAGAAGTTTTCAATATAATAGTACACTGGTATGGAATAACATTCCCAGTGACATAAGGCAGGCTCCTAGCATTTCTTTTTTTCATAATCACTATCTTGAATGGATTGGGATTCAGTGCATATGTTTTCATCTGTGTGGATTATTACAACAGCTCTTCTCTACTTGGATCCCAACGTCTTGTAGAGAAGATTAAAAAAAGGTGTCCCAATAATATGCACTAAAAATGAAGGTATGACAAAAATATCTTATAATTTTTAATGTCCCTTGCTTCAGAAAAAGGGAGTAACTATTTACTATATCTCACCTTGAGGTATTGGTTTTATGTTGACCTTCCTGACTTGTTTGAAATTGAGTTTGGGCACACTTCCGTCCACCTTCCATATTGAAATGTTTTTCTCATGAACTGCACATAGGAAGCAGTGACCCTCTGGCACAGTGCTGCTCCAGTGGACACTTGAAACACCATGGCTTTCAAAAGAAAACAAACAATGGTCATCCACAGATGACATATCCCCTTGTCTCTGCTAATGTAAACACTCCTGCTAAAAGTACACAGTGTTTCAACACACACACACACACATATATATATATATATATATATATATATATATATATATATATATATA